AACCTGCCTCATTCACCACGAGGGCCAAGACTGCAGAACAGAATGTTTGTAAACAACCAAGGACTGGTAGGAAGCCAACTTGTACCTAATAACAAGGAGCAAGAGCTGGTATCCACTCCTCATCCTGCTGATTACCCTACAGCTACGTAACACAGCAGCACCCAGCACAGCCCAGGAGTACCTCTCCCTTACGCAAGTCTGTGGGACGGAGAGCACCAGGTAAAGTAAGCTTTATTAACTCCCAAAGGATTCATTTGACAGTCTTTGTCAACGAAGACAATATGAAAAGGAGCAGAAGGGGTTTGACCAATAAAGACCATCCTGGTTTATCATTCACGGGTACACCACTGTGGTTAGCATTGGAGATGAGGCTCGGAGCCAACACTGAGTCAGGCACAGAACATCCAGCCTCCAGCGCCATTCCTGACCCAGGGCTGCTCCTCAGCTGACTCACACCCTGGCCCCCGACTCCCTGGCCCTCCTCAAGCCACATGCTCTCTCCTAAAGCAGCACCGTGCCAGAGGAGTCTGTAGAGCAATCCCTGCAGCAGAGACACACATGCCACTGAGTCCAGGTAAGACTGGACAGCATACAGCACCACTGAGCAGAGCCACTGGGCTTTACATAAACCATGGAAACATGGTCATAAATAATTTTAGAGTCATTCTCTTGCAAAAAAATTTTCCAACAGGAGCTTTTGGAAGGAACCCGATCTACTAAGAAAGAAGCTTTGAAAGGCCAACTGCAGGAACAAGGAAAACTAGAGGCCAACAAGGGACAGAGTTTGAGATCATTTAACTCATTTTTCAGGAATTTATATGATTCTATATACCTACTAATTCAGGTGTGTGTATGTATTTACATTCACAGTGCTCAAAACTTCTTAGCTCAATTTTATTTACTTGCTTTATGCTAATGTTGTCCAGTTAGGCCTTGCAACCAGTCCATCAAGGCAGCTGGTAACTACACACTAGCACTTTAGAGTTTCCTTAACATAAGCATGTGTTTGAAAACCCAGCACACGTGTTTAAAGGGGAAGACAACACCACGTTTGCAGCTTTAGAGAATCAACACCTCCCTTCAGATGAAGTCTGGGATGTTTTCATGTGCAGTAGCGACCTCTCCTCAAGCATAAGGAGAGTCAGAATGTCAGGTGGACAGGACAAGCCAGGTCCTACCCTCTGATACATATACATACACATCTCAAACATCAGCAGGAGCCTCATTTAGATGAGCATGCATATATTTGTATAATTTGCACAGGTAAACTGCCAGTAAATCAAATGCAAGTAAAGAACCTACTCCATACACAGAGGTTCAAATAAATGTTCAGAGAACACTCACATGTCTTAAAAAGGCTACTGAATACACTCTGCAACTAGCTGGATGAATGCTTGTTCATCATTGTATGTTGGTTTGCATGTTCAAAACTTTAGACTAGAGACATTCAAACTGTTAGCATGGTGAACAGCATGTATTAAACCTTTCATCTTCTTCAACTGTCTAGCTATGCTTCATTCCCTGAAGAAACAAAGAATCTTTACAGATTCCGAGCATACTACTTTGCGCTGATTAGTAAAAGATGAAAATGAGAGAGAAACTTTGCCAGGATAATAAATCTGTTCTCCTTTTCTAGACATACTTGCAAAAATCACAGTATGATTTCTAGAGTTTTGCCTACTTAGGACAGATTTCTGTTTCTCTCTAATAGTGACCTGTGCAAATGCCAGCTCCCAAAACAGCAATTCCAGCCAGTATTCATTTTTATTTCACAAGTTGGTGATGGAACAAAGTATTTCATACAGACTTAACATACATACACAGGTGGACTCCTACCGTTTCAGAAAAACCTTGTTTCTGCCCCAATTTTGTGCATGTCTTTCTACAGCACTTCAGTTTTATTTTGGGGTGGTTTTTTGGTTTCTTCTACAAAGAATTAATGGGGAAATAATGTCCATAGTAAGGCAACTCTGCAATAGCAGTGGGTTTGAACTTCTTGAAAATTGTTCAATTGCTTTTATTCATCCAGCTTAAAATCATGTAATTGTAGATGCTTGGAAAGCCCTATTTGGCAATGTTCTTCAAGAGCAGTTAAAACACAAGATTATTGTTATTTGGTTGGACTGGAACATTCTGTATGTGTAAAATTTGTGTATATTGTAAGGAGTAACTTAAGTGTGGCTAAGGAGTTTACAAATGCAAAAATCAACGAGTACAACATTCGGCTCTTGAATAGAGTGCAAAAAATATGAACAGTTTTTGGGTGAGGCAATAGATTGTCAGTTTTTAAAAAAATAACACACCAAAAAACCCAACCATGAGTTTCATTTCCTTTATCTCCTCCAAAGATTGGGAAGATTGCAAGAAGCCGGAAAGTTTGCAAAGCCGTATCTAAGAACTGTGAGCAGACTCAGCTACAGAGCTCACAGCCACGACCTCATATAAAGCCTTCAAGTCATATATTTATTTTGAATGATACCTACTAGCAACCTTAGCTCTGTTTACAGAACTGCAATTGCAAAAATCCACTTAGCTCGTTTTGTGATCCTGCTTTAACAAGTAAGATTTTTACTCTGGGTTCATCTACTTCAACAAGCCCCCAGGCAACTCCACAGAGGTGAGCTGCTGTCAAGATTTAGCCTGCTAACTCCTGTTTGCCTGTTTCACTACTAAAAATGGTAGCTGGCATAACATGCAAGACAGATGAACTTAAAATCACCAGCTGCACCCAAGGAAAATCGTGGCATGAATATTGTAGCCTAATCTCTCTACGCTGGTATTTTGGTTGGACTGTCAGCATATCTGAGAATTCCTTATCTTTAAGTGGTGCTGTCAGAGCACACCACCGCAGCCATCAGGGAGTCCTTAGCCTTCTCCCAACATGCCTCCTCTCATTCATGTTGCATAGATAGGCTTTCACAGCAGGCTGTGATTCACGGGTGAGGAATGTTTGGTAGATATCCCCACAGAGCCCGCAGGCTGTGGTTACTGCTTTCATTTGCAGTAGTCTGAAGATTCATGTTTCTCTTGTTAAATTAGTGATGACACAGTGAAGCACAGGTCTGGGCATGGTCCAGGCTCATAATGAACATCTACAAGTATTTCACAGATTATCTAGACACACACTGTTCACATACAAATGTTCTAAACTCAACTGTAATTTGATCACATGTGCATCAGATATGTCCATTAATTTCTGCAAATACTTACACCATGCCACTAAAAATAAATCTTCACTTTCAAAGAGCAGTAATACCATTCTTTGAGCACTGTGGAAGGTGCTGATCAGCCTCCTGCTTGGCAGCCTTGTAAAGCATTACATAGGCTTTATTTTATGTACTAATGATTGCCATGAGCCTTCTCCCATATATAAAAATCAATCACTTTGCTTAGTAACTTTGCAGAACCAGGCCTTGGCTTTTTAATGTCACACTTGAGAGAGAACTTCATTTTTATATTTCACATGTATCTTAAACCTGCTTTTTTTGTTGCAAATATTTCCTCAAACTAACCATGGAAATTTGGACCTGAAGCTGTATGCATAAGGCGAGATGCATGTGCAACACCTCCTATAATTTAGTAATCATCAGACCCTTTCTCATTCCTTCCCTTTCCTGTATGTTTTCATCACGAAGATGTTCAATGACATATGTTCAAGGCCTTTTCAAAAGAACAAAAGGGAGGAAGGAAGCAAGAGTCAAAAAAAGGAAATGAAAGGAAAAGGAAGAGAAAACCAGAGGCTGTCAGAAAAACAGTGCAAATAGCTGTAATGGCACTCTTCATTTTCTAAATAAAACTGTAGTAAGGGCATCTGTTACCTTAGAAAACATTAATTGGGACTTTATTAACAATTAATAAATAAAACCAGAGACATCTATATATACTGAAGGTAACACGGTGTTCTTCTCCCCAGTGCTTCTAAGAAGATTCAATGCAATGATGCAAACAGGAAGAGACTCTCAACATTGCCTATCTACCAAGTCCAAAATAACATTTCACTTATAGTTTTAATTAAAAAGTCCTCTGCATTTTTGTGTCTAGTTACCCCGCTGTGTGCCCTTCCTCTCTGCTCAATACAGTGAAGTAGCTTTTTAAAACTTACCCTTCTTGGGGCAGCTTTTAACCATCACTTGGCAGTAAATTGCTCTGAGATAAAGCTATTAAAAATATTCTGTGATAACTACATGAAACAAGTGGCACGAGCTAGAGTATTTTGTTCACCGCTGTCAACAAGATCTATACCTATCGTCAGTGGTTCTCTCTATCAAAATATGGTATTGCATGCCCTGCTGAAGAGGATTTCCTGCACTTTCCACAACCAAGCCAACCATCTCCTTCACTAACTACCACATAGCAATTATCCACATTCTGCTTGCAAAAAAGCGGTTACAGGAAAGTATTTAGATCCATAAATAGCGCAGGATTTTCTTTTGCTGTTGTTTAGCAACTACAGCTAATGCTAGGTGACAAAGACAGAGCCCCAGACCTCCAAGCAGTGCTTCCCAGAGAACAGTTTGGCAACTGCTGCTGAAACGCATTAGGCCAGCCCTGATACCCTACAGTTTCCACCAAGCAGGAAACTGAGGAGCCTGCTGAATATGCTGTGATTTGCACCTTTTGAAACCCTGTTTAATAAAGCCAGTAGTTCTCGTGAGCCTGGAATGAATGAAACCTACTGCCTCATGAGTTTACATTTTATGCTTGATTGACACTGATGTCCGAAGAGGGCAGAAAAGTTTTTTGCAATGATTGAGGTAGACTGTAAAGCAGGGTGCTCTAAGGATCACTCTTAGGTACTGTGCGTTTCCACTAAACTTGCAGAACAAAAATACCTGAAAATGTGTCAAAATCAGTTGATATCACCCATAATTTCAAAAAGTATCTTAAAGGGAGAGTCACATGAATAGATGCATTGCATGTGATCACAGAAACCTTGCTTCTGCAGGAAAAAAAGTTTAAAAGACTCTAACCTATGGGATCCCAAACCGAGTTCCACTTACCTTAGTGTTCATACAAGATTTCCCGCGTTTATATTCTTTGTGACTTGCTCTTTTATCAAGCTTGTTCCACAAAGCTTTGGCCTTCCACGTGGTCACTCTTGACTTCAGTTTGGTGTAAAAGTTTCTATTGTCCAAAGGATCTAATTCAAGTTGGCGAGTGAGAATATTGAAGGCCTGAATGGTACCTTTGCATGTTGACGCTTGTACAAAGTTTTCAAATATCTGGCCAGCCTGACTGTATTTTTCATCATCGTTTTCCCCCATGTTCCGAGAGAAGTGTTTGAAAAGGATTAAGCTGGAGCTCTTGTGCTGGAGTACAGGTAATCAACACTACCAAGTACTTCCAAGCATAGTATTCCTAGAAAAGAGAAACACAGGTCATGTTAAAGCAGGTTCTGCCTAACCAAATTAAACCCACAAACTGCATATCCACTATGAACATAAAAATATTACATATGGCAAGTGGACAACCAGGTAGAACAAGTTAGTAGTGGCATCCAAGATAAGTGTTACAAACATAATACATTTATACTTCACAAAGACTGATACAGAAACCCTACAAACTCACGTCTACTGCTACAAAACCAAACAGCTTCACCGAGAGCCTCAAGATTTCTTTAATTTTTGTCCAGTGATAACTGCTAGATAATAGACGAAGAAAAAACAAATGTCCAGATACTTTTCCCAAGCAGAATTTATGTCCCAGCAAGTACTTCTCTAGTAACATTTTGGTCTTAAGAATTCTTAGAAACCTGCAGCCAAAAGTCAATACTACCCTTTTGCATACGCTAGGGCCAAGAGTACAGCTTAGCTAGAGCAATTTAGAATTGGCACAATCACTTGCCACGAGCAAACGCACAAAACAGGCTAAGAAGAAACATTACCACAAGTTACACCAGAACTGAAGAAACAGCAAACAAGCAACCACAGAGCGCTCCTTTCTTTCTAACACTCTCGCCAAAACGAGAAAGGGTTCGGTGCTTTAGTGCATAGGAAGGAATTTTATCTCCACATCTCCACATGTTAAATGCTAAAGTTCTGTGTTTGGAGTCTTACCTTGTCATGTGCTTTGATATAAAAATAATGATGTTTGGCCCACTGAGCCCCGCTGGCTTTTCCTAGTAACATGACCACTGTCAAACTGCCTGATATTCCAGATAAATGCCCTCACATTCTCTTAAGAGCAATGCTATTCTAAATTAATGTAAGTTTGAAAGAACTAACATACTTTCATTGCGGCACTCCCTTATCCTTCTTTAACCTTGCTCTTAAGCTCTAATGGGGAGCGTCTTAGAGTCAGCCAAGGTCCACAGAAAATATGCAAGTGGCTTTCACATTTTCCAAGAAAATTGTTACAGGTTATGTATAAACTTGTCCTCAGAAGAGGGTCTACCTGGACTCAAGGCCAGAGGTTTAAGTCATGTGTTCTTTCTGTTGCTATTAAAGAATTATCTACCACTCCAAAACCCCAAAAACTAAATCAATGCTTGCCTAACCTCCAGATAATCAGTTATTTTGCTTGGAACACCATCTGTTGGCTGATAGTTTTAGAATAAATTGTTAGAAAGGCCTTTGAAGTTTTTGCTTTTCAATTTAACACTGTTCACAAACTATTCATCCTCTGCTTGCATTTCCTTCAGAGAAAAAAAAATAAAAAGAAAACATAACCAGTGTATTTAAGTAGAGACCTACCATGTCTATCTTACATTATATTATCTATCCTGTAATACTGAAAAATATTATGCAACTTATTAAAGAGATCCCATGGGGAGACATAAGGAAGCATTTGGAATACTCACATTCCCTGGCTGTGCTCAAAATAAATAACCTTTGTGTGCACATCATCAGTCTGTTGTTGGTTTGTGGGTAAAATAAATTGGCAACATTGAGAGTTTGTACATTTTCTTAGACCAAATGTCATGATTAAATATTTAGTGCCAAGAATAAGTCAGGAAATTTTTGTTTTCCCGTCTGAATACTTCATTTATAGTATGCTCCATGCCCTTTTCTGAAGAGCTTTGTGGCTTTGTGAGGTAAAAGCACAAACATTTTATACGGCCGACTTCCAGAAGGTCTAATTTTTCATGAAACTGAGTGCCATGAACTCCCATTGACTTGAAAGGAGTTCAGGACACCCAGTACCTTTCCAGGTTCAAGTTCTCAGTGATTTATGAGCAAAGCCCTCCAATAATTACATGGTGATGCAAAGAAGCCTGGTCACCTTCATGACCTTGTACAGATGCGATGGGGGCCCAGCATTACCCTCCCCAGCCATGACTTTGGGAACTCAGAGCTACACAGGGGGTTTTGGGTCAGTCCGAAACAGGTCACTAGATCCAGAAGTTCCTAGGGGAAGGGTAGGGACTGCCATGTGGAGAGGCTGTGTGTCTGGGTTTCAGCTTTACACACGAGTGTAACTGAAGACAGCAACAGCACAGTGCAAAATGCCACTACGCAGCTTAAACAGCTATGGACTACAGCTGCTGATGCATGGCTTTGTCTTCAGCCTTGTGGTTTACAGTGAGCCACGAGGGTTCACCTCTGCTCCTGGACAACCTGATTTGGGCTGCTCTGGGCTCCTAGCTGGGCAATGGACCATTGAGCAAGGACTCTGTTATTGAACAAGCAAACTTAGGAGTTAAGAATGCTGTCTTCAGTTGTAGGTGCTTTATTCTGAGTGTCCCTCTCAAAGGAGCTTGAGGTCATTCTCATCATGGAGGGTTGGCTCTTGGAAGAGTTACTGTGCCTCTATTTGCTACAAGTTTGTTGTCCCTTTCTGCCTGGAAATCATGTTTGAGGTCTCTCGTTTTATGGATTTCTGGGTATGTGGCAGTCCCCACTGTGCTGTAGAGTGACTGGGTATACACAGAACTTCACAAGTCAACATGCAATAACTTAAACAGTCATTTGACTTGATATACAGGAATTCCAGGATTTGAGACTCATTGAAAAAGAAAGAACTCAAATCAAGGATAAATACTTACTTTACCTAAGGTATTTTTTTATAATAGGAAAGCCAACATAGTTTTCTTGTCTCTTGATGAGTGGCAAAGTGTCAGTGACATGTTCTACTTTGGACAATTGAACTCAGGGAACAGCAGCCAGATTAGGTTTTCTTCATCACTATAAACTCACATTGCTACCGCCTCAGTGCGACCAAAGACTTTGACCAACTTAATAGCTATAAAACAATACTTCCTTTCCATCATTTTCATTAGCTCACCACGAGACTGTTATGTTCATACAACACAAATACATTTAAAAGTTACTTCTGGCATAATTGGTGAGTGAATCTGATCACAAGCTCTTTAATTTACTATCTTTTCTGCTCAGAGAGGGGACATTTTTATAGCTTCAGCTCCTTCCATCCAAATTACTATCTTTTCTGCTCAGAGAGGGGACATTCTTATAGCTTCAGCTCCTTCCATCCAGCAAGGGGGATGGGGTGAAGAGAAAAGCTAAAAGAGTAGAGCCATACCTGAACCAACCAAAGAAGAAAAAAAGTATAAGCCAGGGTTGATAGCAGCGAAGAGGAGGCAGAAGAGATGGTTGGCAGAAGGCACTGCAAGCAAAGGGAAGGGGAGGAAAACATTTTTAGCATGATGCAAAACAGTGGACGTAGGTGTTACACACATGCACACGCACACAAACACAGGCAGCAGGCCTGGGCTTCCTCTGCCTTTCCACTGGGAAAGAGAGCAGTGGGAAGGGCATCCTGAACACCTTAAGAATTCCCTCCTCCAACATCAAAAAGCCTAGACTGAGACAGTTCTTTCTAGACACAGTATCTTCTCACAAACATCCAAAGCACTCCCATCCTGTCCACACTGAAAAGCTGTGGAGTGGCATCTCAGCAGAGACATGTGCTCACCAGCAAAGCATTTCTCCTCACTGTGTCAGAGGTCATGTTCTCCAAAAAAGCCACATTTTGTGGTCAAAAAGGCAGGATGAGACAGGAGACTCTGGTTACTGGGGTTTCTGGCTTGCTGCAAACACCACTTCTCTTTTCTTTTTTTGGACATGAACACTGTGTTGACAGATGACAGGGAGGAAGATGGTGTCCTAAGTATATGCAGCTCTTGGAAAAGTACACATTTTTTTCTGAGGAGTCACAAATATTTCACTGCAGTATTGTACATAACTCACTAGAAACAATGCGATAAGGACAAGAAGTTGAACGGAGTAATTCTGAACTGTAATTTAAGTTTCTTGTTCTGTAACTGTCCCTTAAGACAGACTTCAGAGGCAATGCATAAATGCTTACCTGTAGTGGAGAAAATAAAAAAGTGTTTGGGGAAATACTTGAGTTCTTGAGAGTACTATCATTTAAATTTTTTCTTCCTTCATAGAATCATAGAATAGTTAGGGCTGGAAAGGACCTTAAGATCATCTAGTCCCACCCCCCCTGCCATAAGCAGGGACACCACACACTAAACTATGTTGCCCAAGGCTCTGTCCAGCCTGGCCTTAAACTCCTCCAGGGTTGGAGCATTCACGACTTCCTTGGGCAACCCATTCCAGTGCCTCACCACCCTCACTGTGAAGAACTTCTTCCTTATATCTAACCTAAAGTTCTCCTGTTTAAGTTTAAAGCCATTACCCCTTGTCCTACCACTAGAGTCCCTAATGAAGAGTCCCTCCCCAGCATCCTTGTAGGCCCCCTAAAAATTCATCATATAGACCACTCTAGGGATGACATACAGATCCAAAAGTCTCATCAAAGTGAGTACTGATATTGAGACTTCAAACTATGCTTTTTAAAGTAACCATTGAACTTCTTCTAGAAGCACAATCCAAAAATATAATGAAGTTTATGTGAAACTTACTGAAGCGTTAGAGCCCAATAAAAATTTGGGTCACAGAAAGGAAGAGAATTAGAGGGCAGGAAATGGTCTGGACCAACAGTTCTTTTAAGTCAGAACTGAAGCATCCATATCTTAGATTCACAGCTAGCAAGAACTGTCATTTTAGGTTCCATGTGTGATGCATTAAGCATATACAAGAATCCGGCCTTCCATGCAGCTTCCTATGGTATTACGTGAGTCTCTGGAGGGCTCCCTCACATGAAGTGCAGACACTGGGAAGAAGATGGGCCCCCATTTTGATGATCCCTTCTACTGTAATGTTAGCCCAATCTCCTTTCTGCCTCCATTCCGGGGCAAACAGGAATGTCAGACAAGACAAGCTGAGAAGTGCTGTTCATACATGGTAGCTACCCAAGGAGAAAGCGCAGATCTTACTACAATTTAAAGGAAAGCAGTGCA